TTATCCGACACGGTACGTTCTGTCCTGCCTTGACAAGACATGCTGGTCGCAACAGCGTTCAACCGCGCGTGCAACGGACCCGTCAACCTCCTCGTTCACCATTCTTTCCCGCCCTTCGTTCCACCGGGTCGAACACTGTGACTGTCATCCGAACCTGTGGCCCGTGAAACTAACGGTTTTGTCAACACCAGGAAAGCAAGCCCGTGTCGCAAACCCCGACGATTCCGCGCGCACCAAACATGACGACTCTCCGCCGCACCAACAGCACATCCCCAAAAACATGCCACCCCCAGTCTCGGAACCCGAATTCGGCGCGTCGCCGGCAGGCCATCATCATGGTCTCCCCGATGCCTACTCTGCGTCGGCTGCGCCCGGACACGGTCAACACCGTGCTGCACAGGCTGCTAACGTTGCAGCCCATCACGCCGAGGCGGACCAGACGGCTGCTAACAAGACCAAGGCCAAACGTGTTCCCGACGAAAACATCGCGAAGCTAGTAGCCGAAGAAAATGCCAGTAAGACTCGCTTTCCCAGATACCCTGGCCTGGAAAGGTGGGAGCTTGTCGAGAAGATGGGCGACGGGGCTTTCAGCAATGTCTACCGTGCAAGGGACCTGGAGGGTAACGCCGGCGAGGTCGCCATTAAGGTTGTCCGCAAATTCGAGATGAACAATATGCAGGTACGTGATCATCCGGGGGACCTGAGCACTCTTCCTCTTTTCGCCAACCTCCGTCTTTCCTCATGTCACATCGGGTTCTTTCTTGTTTTTATATAAAGTTTCCTTTACCAACGCCAAGGCATCGTCCTAGGGCAACAAACATCTCCATCCGGATTTCAAGCCAAAAGCCCCGAAGGCTGCAGAGGTGCGAGAATTTTTCTTTTTTTTGTTTTTCCTTCAGTCACATTCCGCTTCTCCTCTGTGCAGTCTCTCCTAATTTTCAGGGCGCCGCCAATCCGGTTGACAATTCTGTCTTGCTGGGCCAAGCGCCCGGAATTATGACAACGCATCTTCTCTCACGCTTCTGCCGTTTGTCCTGCTTATGACTAACCGGCACTAGCGAGCAAATATCCTGAAAGAGGTGCAAATCATGCGCCAGCTGGACCACCCCAACGTCACCAAACTCATCGATTTCGCCGAGTCTCGGCAATACTACTACATTATCCTCGAACTGGCCCCTGGCGGCGAGCTTTTCCATCAGATCGTCCGTTTGACGTACTTCAGCGAGGATCTGTCCAGACATGTCATTGTGCAGGTAGCCAAGGCACTCGAGTATTTGCATGAAGAGAAGGGTGTTGTTCACCGGTAAGCCCTAGTTGCCTTCACCTGCAGCAGTGGCAGGTCAACTGGATTTGAGCTAACGTGGTTTCAGGGACATCAAACCCGAAAACATTCTCTTCAACCCTATACCGTTTGTTCCCTCCAAGACGCCCAAGCCCATGCAGCCTGGTGACGAGGATAAGGCCGACGAAGGAGAGTTCATCCCGGGTGTTGGTGCTGGCGGCATTGGGCAGATCAAGATTGCAGACTTCGGCCTGTCCAAGATCGTTTGGGACACCCAAACCATGACGCCGTGCGGTACTGTCGGATACACGGCACCCGAGATAGTCAAGGACGAGCGATACTCGAAGTCAGTCGACATGTGGGCCTTGGGTTGCGTGCTGTACACGCTGCTCTGCGGCTTCCCGCCGTTTTACGACGAGAGCATCGAGGTCCTCACAGAGAAGGTGGCAAAGGGCCAGTACACATTCCTCTCGCCGTGGTGGGATGACATCAGCAAGTCTGCTCAGGATCTTATTTCCCATCTGCTGGACGTGGACCCCGAGAAACGGTACACCATCAAAGAGTTCCTGGCTCATCCCTGGATCCGTGGCTCTGGTCCGACACCACGCGCAGACAAGGTCTTGAACTCTGACGGTGTGCTGCGTGCATTCGATGCCTCCAAGATTGTAGACGGCGACAAGCGGTACGACTTCCGCTCTCCCGGCGCGGTCAACCTTCGGGAAGTGTTCGACGTTGGGTATGCCGTGCACCGGCAAGAGGAGGAGGGCAAGCGCCGGAAGCAGGTCGGAGGCAAAGCTGGTGCATCCCGCTTGGTCGGACTTGCTGAGTCTGAGGAGGACGATGATGCGGCGATGGAGGATGTTGGGAACCAGAAAGGTGGCTCGACACAGCAACTGGAGCAGAGCATGCGGGACGCACAAATCAAGGATCAACAAGAGCATCGCGGCCGAGATCGTGAGCGGAAAGCTCATCCACCACCTGCTGCTGAACAACCGAAGGGATATGGCCAACATTCTGCAGCTGTTACCGCCGCTGCACGACAACAGGTCAGGGACCGCAACCGGCAGAAGGGAGCATTTGAACTGAACCTGGATGGTGCGACGCTACTCGGGCGACGAGGAGCGAAGGCTCCGGCTACTGCTAGGGTGGCCTAGGACGCTACCAAGCAGAGAAAGCGAGACCATTCCCATCCGAGCGGCTCGAGCAACGGGTCAGGACAAATCGACGATGAGTTTTCTTCCTTGACCCTTGACACGCCCGCGAAACCGGCCGGGGAGAATATAGGATCTGGCGGTGGCGGGATCGGTACCTCGGCTGGTGAAGCCGAAGTCAAGGGAGCTGATGGCGGGAAGAGTACGGAGCAGAGTTAGAGTCAAGGAGTGGGTAAAGGTAATTAGGGTTGGCACTGAGCGTTCGGCGCAGCTAAAGGCTAGAGACACACGAGACAGGAGCGGGTCAATGGGGTCATGGCACATATTTTCTTTTTGTCGTTTGGATTCCCAGATTTACTACATTCGTTACGTTAGGTATCATGATGGGAAACGGGAAACACTTGAGGGCATTGGTGTAGGGTGTTAGGAACACCAGGCATGCCGCAGGGAGGAGTGGAGGGTCGTGGGTTTACTCGTTCGCATACACTCGTACTACTCTCATGGAAAGGTGTTGGAGGAATTCAGTCATCGTTTAATAGTTCAGCTCATCCCACTAATGGTTGTCCACTGGTGAGAATGGTGAATGCCCACAGACCGACCCGTTGACGCAAGGGCCCCTGCATCCCTCTTGAAGGGGGCCGCCACCATGCTTTCCGTCTTTGTGACTTCAAGACACAGACCTCGGACCGATTCCGAGTTGCCGAATCTTGGGGCTCCCCTGCCATATCCTTGGGGTTCCGATACCTTCATCACGGTCGACCATGGAAGCTGTCTGTCACATACTCTCACTGCTGGTTTACATTGCATGCAAACTTTGCCTTGCAATTTTCTTCCAACTGGTCTACTGGAATGAGGTGTTGAAGATCGTCCTCTGTCTAATGTGGTTAGTGGTATTTATGTACAATGTAGATCAAGCCTATTGTCAGAGCGCCAAGGGAGATGGCATCTCCCATGGTGGAGGAGATATGTTGGGGCCAATATTTCGAACAACGGCATGATGGCTCTCAATATCTCAAAAAATGGGACTTCGTCTGGCACTTTCAGAGGTTCATTGACATCAGATAAGGCCTGGATGAAGATAACTAATTTCTATATAAGTCTTGACTTTTTTTTCTTTCCAATCTGATGGCTTTCTTGCCCAGCTATTCTTCAACGCCATCAACGAACACACTTTCTTTGCCACACTCTCATTTCCAAAAGCCTCTACCTACACTGTCTTCTCACGTCCGTCTATCATTGTCCACACCTGTATAAGTCCCTGCTGCAAAAGATGTCTTCTCTTCTGGCCCCCAGAGCCCCCAGCTTGAGCATCTTCCACGCCCCCAACAATGTCTGCGGGCTTGATGTGGGTGTCCTATTCGCCGACTGCGCGTCCATCGAGATCAACTTCCCAGGCAAACAGCCGCCGCCCAGCGTCCAGGTTTATCAATCCGTTTACCATCAGCATCAGGCCGACTCCTCCCCAACAGCAGCAGCAGCCTCCTGCTCCTCCTGCTGTTGCTGCTCCTCCTGCTGTTGCTGCTCCTCCGGTCTATAACGTTCCAACCACCTTGATTCCATACGTGAGCCTTATCCTTTTTACTGTTTGTCTGCTCGCTACTACTTTATGTATGTGCTAAACAAAAGACGGATGGATAGACTACCACCTGCAGCACAACGGACGAGCCCCAGCAACCAACACCGCTGTCCGGAAACCGAATAACAACCTGTACTATCCGCCTCCTCCTCCTCCGCCTCATGCTCCAGCACCGCCAGCTGTGGCCGTCCCACCATCACAGCAACCCCTTCATGGTGGCCTCCCAGCAGCAGCAGACCCATCCTGCGCGCAACCAACCATCGACATAAGCGTCGACTTGCTAGGTCTCAACATCAACGTGGACATCTACCTGGGCATTTTGGGTCAAACAACTTCAGGTCTAGTCCACGGTCTCCTCGGCAGTTTGCTGGGTGGTTGGTGCCACGGGGCCTTCAGGTGGCGACAAGTCATCACCAACGGTAGTAACGCAGCAGTTTGGTAACAAGTGCGGGCTGTCGCTTTCTCCTGAAGCAAGAATGAGCTATATTCTATGTTTGATGGGAAACGGAAACGGAGGCGATAGGGGGTTTTGTTTTGTTATGAGATCTTTTTTGTATTTTGCTTTCACAACTACAGATGGGTTCCTTACCTATACGAGATGAAGAATTTTTACTTTCCTGTCCTCTTGCGCCATTCGACTTCTTCATTATCTCGACTACCCTAGGTAGGTAGGTAGGTGGCGGAAGATCAGTTGGATCCCTGGATATATTCTTTCTGATAATGCTAAGGACTGCGTGCAGCCGTACTTGCTCTGACAGTTGGGCTATGCAGGGTAGAACAGCCTGCACCTCTATGTCACTCAGATGGAAAGGCAAATCAATAGTTCTCGAGAAAGTTGGATTGCTATTCGACGTAGTTTGTACGTACTTCACGTGCTGCCAGGTTGATAGACAAAAAGGCTCCCTTCATCGTGTCCAATCCGTCCAGATTCCCATATAATAACACGAAAGAAAGATCGAAAAAAAAAAGCATAAGTAAAAAGACAAAGAAATGATCGCGGCAGGGCTCGAACCTGCGATCCTCTGCGAGTGATTACAGAACAAAGAACCCTGGTCTGATATCCACCAGACTAGGAAGGATTTTCATTTCTGTAAAGCAGATGCCTTAACCACTGGGCCACGCAACCTATTCATGTTTTCATTGGGTTGGATTAGAAGATACTACGTTCTTCTACCACCGTCCATGTCCACCACAACCATCACATCCTAGCACAACCAGCAATGCTCATTATTGCGCATATGACGCGACTTTCCTAACCTCATCTAGTACTTATACGGCAGCCAACTAATCCTGATGCGCCTCCCCAAAATTCATATCATGCAGTTGCTTCAGCGCCTTGACCGAAAGCGGCTTCTTCCTGTAGTTGGCCACCGCCAGCGCCGTGCTGACCAGATTCGTGATCTGCCTGCCGTTGATGTCCAGATCGCGACCCAACGCAACAAAATCGTCTTCCGTCCACCGCTGCTCCCCGCTGCTGCTACTGTACTCATCGTTGATCTTGGTCAGCGTGTTCCTCCAGATCTTTACCCGGTTGTCGGCGCTCAGGGACTTATAGCGCAGTCGCAGGTTCAGACGCGACTCGAAGGCAGGATCAAAATTGTCCAGCCGGTTGGTCGTTAGGAACACAATTCCCTCGTGGTACTCGAGCGAGCGCAAGAAGGCGGCCACTATCGAGTCCATCAGGTAGCCGCCGTTGGCCGATGAGCCGCGCTTGGTCAGGAAGATGTCGGCTTCGTCCAGCAGGAGGATCGCGTTCCAGGCTGCGGCCAGGTCAAAGACCGTCTTGAGCCCGGCTTCGTAGTCGGAGACGCCCTTTCCGACGTCGGTGGTGCCGATGTAGTAAAGCGGTCGGTGGGTTAACTCTGCTATGCTTTCTGCGGTGAGCGTTTTGCCTGTCCCGGGCGGGCCGTACAGCAACACTACCAGGCCCCTCCCCTTCCTCGCCAGCTGACTCTTTCCGTCCGGCGGCGACGTGTAGTGCTGCCGCACAAGCGCCTCGATGTTGTCCTTCCACGTCTGCTCGATGGCGAGCTCCTCGAACCGCGACTCCATCCACTTGATGTCCTCCAGGTCTTCGACCAGGAAGAATGACCAGCGCTTTTCGCTGAGAGCGTAACCCCTGACTCGAGCGGGAGCTAGAAGCGCTTCAAAATCGGATATCTCGTAGCTTGGCCGGTTCAGACGACACTCCATGTTGTTTAGTAGTAGTTGAGGTTGGTCTGCCGTGGTATCCTCTGCCGTCGGCCCCTTAAAGTAACTAGAGTCACTGCTTGAGGTGGAGGAGCTGACCGCTGTCTTGTTTTCCATGTTTCGTCTGCCTGCAGCGCTTCTCGTGTACAAGACTGTCCCGAGCGGGTAGTTGACCCGCTGGTGGGTTTTGTAATCTACAATAACGCGGCCTTTGACCTATTAAGCGTCGTGTTAAATGGTTCAAATTGATGCCGATTGCTCATAGCAAGTTGTATATGGTTGGGACCTACGTGTATGGGTACCAGTTGGTCCATCCTATAGTCTGGCAGACCGCGTCGCACTTTCGCCTCGTCTGGGCTTACCCAAGCAGGACCTAACTTCTCTGTGAGCAAATACAAGAACTCACTCAACTTAAGATCTTGTTTTCTTACCAGAGTACTCCTTGTGCTGATTATCCAAAACCCCCCTCCACACCTTGCCCCGTCTTATTAAACGCTCCGTGAGCTGTAACCGTTCCAACGCATCCAGACAGTCCAGCGGATACGCTTCCAGCTCCGAAAGCTTTCTGGCGCCCTCGAAACACTCGACCTGGATGGTCGACTTCTTGGGCCCGAAGTACGTCCCGTTGTAGTCCCAAGACCACGCCGAAATCTCAAAGTAGGGCGGATTCAGCGCCTCGCGCTCGACGTAGCGGCACGAGTTTACACGGTACGCCTCCTGGTAGTACTCGGTCTGGTACACGATGGCGGTCTCGGGCCGGAAGTACGTCCAGAGCAGCTCGTAGTTTGTGAGTCCGTAGGGCGCGAACTGGTCGTACAGCAGCTCAACCTTGCCCAGGTTCGCGGCGATGAACTTGATGAGGAGATTCAGGTGCCGCTTCTCTTCGCTGTTGTTCTTGTCTGGAGATACCAACACGTCTTCGGCGTACTGCCGGATCTCTTTTCGGTACTGGAACAGCTCGTGGTACGGGTGGCGGATGACGATGGGATACGCGTCAAGGTTGAGGTAAGAGCACGCCTCCATGACGGTCTTTAGGGCCGTGCGGATGTGCTTGGACTGGATCTCGAGCTGTTTGGAGAGCTCGTTGCCGTCCTTGTCGCTGCGTCGCCGCAAGAGCAGGGCGTGTCTGCTGTAGGCCTTGTCGAGCTCCTTTGCTTGCGCGATGGTGCTCGTGGGGATGACGATTGGCCGATCTCCCGAGGGCCGTTGGCGCTCGGTGATGTCCATGAGGGTGGCATGGGCGCCGTCGAACTCGGTGATGGCGGCATGGTCCTTGGGCGCGCCGGTCCCATCGAGCCTGGACGAGATCGCCAGGTCATAGTCGAGCAGGGACATGGTGGTCGTGGGTAATATAACCTTCTCACTGGAGAAGTAGCCCCTTTACTCTTTGTCTCAATGACCTCACGCCGGTCACGATGTTCGATACAGAAAAATCCGGGTTGCTTCCACTGGAGGTCCAGAACATGAGCAGCCTTGTGCCCTCTTTGTTACGTACCTACAGATATTGAAGCAACTTGGAGGCGGGGATGGGGGCTGTGTTTTCGCTTGCGAACGTTCAGGGCTTAGCGTCCATGGATTATGCAGGGGCCTTCAGTTCGGTTCAGGAAGTCTTTGGAGGCCTAGAATAGCTACGGCCTGCCGTAGCCTGTACGGAATACGGGGACTTTGTTTTCTTGGCAATCGTGTTAACGCGCGCTGTGATCGCGTGCACTTATTTTCAAAATCATCCCACATCAAAACTCACAAGCAAATACCGTCAGAAAGGCGCCCGCCGTCAAGCCCCCCCACGAATCACAACAGGCGCGCCGAGCTGGCCTTACACAATGTTTTCAATCTCAAACGAGAGCACATGTATTGAGTCGGTCGGTGACTACATGAAGAGGGATCTCGAGGCGGGGAACCTGAACCCATCTGGCCACAGCGTAGGGAAGAGACCGAGGTTTGTAACTTTCTTGCCCCTACACAGGACGAGATGGCAATTACTGGTGCTGACGCAATGACAGCCACAAAGAGCCAAGCGGTAACAATACCAATGCGCCCCGTCGGAGGAAGAAGATCACGGAGCGGCGCAAAGGGCACGTCTTCGCCGTCAACGTAGACGAAATCTTCGAGGGCACCCAGTCCCACGAAAGCTATGGCGACGGACCTATGAAGCTCAAGGGTCTCGACAAGTTCGACAACTGCAGCTCTTACGGCCTTTCGGACGAGGCGCACAAGATCTTAGTCCGCAAGGAAATCGAGAAGCTCGTCGCCGTGGCCACCCAGGAAGCACCCTATCTCTTCGACAGCAAGGGGCTACTAGGCGGCACGGCCGAGCAGGACTTTTTGGACATGGCCAACCTCACCGACCAGATGTACTGCTGCTACCAGATTATCAAGCACGACACCGCCCAGATCTGCCTCCGAAACATGCTCGAGTCCCCGGACCGGCTGGAGGAGATCATCGACGAGTTCAAGCAGTCCCGGCAGGTACTCATGTCCAGGTACGAGACCGACAAGGACCGCGTCGAGGGTGCACAGGCCGTCGCCCTTGAGCCGCCGGCGCGGAACCGCGCGCTCTACCACGCCATGGTCGACTACGTCCTCGGCTCCATCGCCCGGCTGATCCTACGCTCCGCAGCCGGTTCTTTTTGGATCAAGCGCTCGATCGCCGTGTTGGCGCTCTGGGCAGTCAAGCTCAAAGTCCTGGCCGTCGACCCGTCGACGTATGCCCAAGCGTCCATCAGCACCGGCGAAGACGTGGTCGAGTCCCTGGCCGGCCAGCAGGCCGTCTACCGCAGCGTGGCGCTGCTGAAAGTCAGGCTGAAGCCCGAGGAAGCCGACAGGGAGCACGAGACGCTGAGCATGAAGATCAACCTCAAGGCGGACTACTTTGAGGAGTGCTTCCTCTTCCGCTGGGATCTGGCCGGTCTGTTCCGCTATGCCATGTTTTCGCTGGTCGATCTTAACAAGCTGGGGAAAGGCCATAGCATGGCGTGCTTCGAGGAGTGTACGCTTGTGTACAGGACAGGGCTGGACGGCGTGCTCACGAGCCTGACGCAGGACCGGTTTAGATCGGTGCACTACTCGTCCGAGACGGCCGACCCGACGTACTTGTACAGTGCGTTTAGGTTAATGCTGGAGACGCTGGAGTGCATACAGAAGCGGAATAGGGAGAATCACGCCTCTCAAGGTAGTAGAGGTGGTGCTCATCCAACGCAGCAGCATGCAGCAGGCGCAACGATAAAATGGGATGTCGTGGTCCGTCCGGGCGTGCGCAACATCAACGACGGCCTACTACTGTATCGCATGGACGACGTTATCTCCGCCATCATGGCCGAGTGCTTAGCGGCGTCGAAGATCGCCAACTCGGTAGCAAACATGGTGCGGATGGCGTCGTCGTGCGCGCGCGAGGGAGACAGGGTCGTCCCTTTCGACCACCCACCGCGCGCCTTCCAGGGCATGGTGCACATCTTCACGGCCGACTGCGTGCGCCAGAAGATGAAGGCTAGGGAACTGAACCTCGACGACACGGATGTCGAGTTTGTGTCGGACAGCCCGCTGAGGCGTGGCATCCGTGCCGGCACGAACCTCAACCGGCATCATCCTCACTATTCGGCCAAGCATAAATCAGCCACCACCACGGAAACGACGTCCACTACTACCGCCAGTAATACGACTGGAGGAAGCTCATCAGGTAACACGGCGGGCCGCACGCGCAAAATGCTCTCCGAATATGAAGAAAATCGCAAGAAGATGGACAGCTGGGTGATCGCCGAAGACTCCATCACCGTGCGCTGCCGCCTCTACGTGATCATCGTCATCAGCATAGCCGCAACGGTCGTCTGCGCCGGTTTGAGCGTACCCTTCATCATTGGCGAGCGCATCCCGGGCGTCGACCCGTTCCAGATCACAACCTTCACCTGGGTGCTGACGGCCTTTTCCGTCTTGCTGGCC